CGTAGGTCCTATAAATTTACGGAATTTTAATGTTCATAAAATTTTCGGAATATTTTGCCTATTAAAATTTTCTGATGAGTACGAAACACTATTTTGTACTGTACAAATAGTGACTTGTACAGTTGATTAACTAATATCATGTGATATTTTCATTAATTATCTGGATAATATATAAATGTGACGAATAATATTTTAGATCCAAAAAAATTCTAAGTCCCTAAAAAAATATAATAAAAATTGAATGTTAGGTGGTGATAATAAAATACAACATTCCTAATTGATTTGTATTTGACACAAACCCTAACCTCTTATTTAGATAATAATATATATTACAGGGGTTGGGTTTATATTTAGTACTGTTCAGCTTTTTAATATAAAAATACTTGTATTGTACGGTTTTTTAACATAAAAAAGTTCATATAGTACAATTGGATTTTTATAATATATATTATTGTACAAATTTTGTGCAAAAATTTATATAAAATCATATAGTACAAAATAGTATTTCATACCGTACAGTTTATCATCATATTTGCAATGTGTATATATCATTATTTTGTAATCAAAAATAACGAACACATGAGATTGGAGCTTAATGTTATACGCATAATATACATTCTCATGAACCTGATATAAAAATCATTTATTTTAAAAAATATACAATTATGAATTACAATCTGCTTGTATTATGATGTAAAATTACTACATTCCTAATCTATGTAGGTATCTTTATTGGTGAAAAAAGACTCCATTAGTTAAGCACTTATGACTCTCTTTTAATATTTCATAAAAAATCATCATGTTTCTTCTTGTTTGTGTCTTCCAAGATAGTATTGCTTTGATCCAACTATTAATTTTGCACAGTTCTTGGGATTTCAATACATGCAAGATCCATAGTAGCAATTGTATCTTTGAAGAGAAATTTCGATACTGATATTTTGAGCTGAAATTCATTTGATTGCAAATTATAAATTTCAATATTTTTAATTCTGCCTTCCACATGAGAAGGTATTATAAAATATAATGTCATAAGAATGATTTTAGAGCAGTTATACGTGTTGCCCAAATCCCAAATCATTTGGGATTTGGGACGCCAAAATCCCAAATTACTAGTATTTGGGAT